AGGAGTTTCAACAGTTTTGGAAAATGAAAAGTCTATTGAAAAAATTTAAAAAATATAGCAAAACATGGACACTCCTAAGGGGCCAATTTTGCCCCTTTCGGTCTGACATTCGTGTACTCAAGTCACACTCGCACACAAGTTCAAGGTCCGAAACCTATTTCGGTCCATTATTTACACCCCCCTACGCGCGTACGTGAAGAGAGCTTCTATGCTACACATGATTACACCATTCTAAAGTGCAATCCTTTATAAAGTGGTTTTAGATTTCATCCATTTCCTATGTGGGACAAACCTTATTTTTTCTTTTCCCACCAACATAAACTCGTTTCACATGGCATACTTTGAGCTTCAATNATTTTTCCCACCAACAAACTCCTTTCACATGGCATACTTTGAGCTTCAATTTCTCATTCACCCGAGCATCATTTTTGACAAGTAAGTATATGATTTCGATGTACTCACGGAGGAGAACACAAATCAACTTTCATCTTTCAAAATGGCCAAACGGGTCCCGCTCAAAATTCCATCCAAAGTCAGCTATATGCTCAACTTTTCCAACACAAACAGCTGTCCACCAGTTGCATATTCCATGACAATAGTCAAATAGGTTGGTGTCAATATGACCTGGAATAAAATCTAACGTGAGGAGCACCACCAAGTCATGTTATGGAAACACATCCATTTTGCAAATGAATTTACCTCTTTACACTGGAAAATGTTGGGATGCCTCAGAGATCTGTGGTTAATAATTTCCCGCTTTAAATTTTCATCAATCTGTCGTATAGCATGTAAAATTGAGAATGAATTAGCCAAAGTTACACTCAGGGAGCCTGGCATCGCATTATAATTTCAAAACTTAACTCCTTTGGCTTATGATGCCTGGAATCACACTAGTTTCCCTAATGAAAACCATGATCCCATCTCATTGGAACATTAGAATCTGAAAGAAATCTAAAAAATGTTTCCTATTAAAATACATTGAAATAAATGTTTTAAGTAAATTCCAACCACAGAAAGTGAAGGGTGAGAAAAATAAAATAAACGACTGGTTGAGTGTTTACAGCGTTTCCTTTTTTTTTTTTTTTAGTATTCAATACATCATTGCACTGTACTTCGAACGACAACAAATTTAAAAAGATCATAAATCTCAAATTCATCTTATTATTTCCATTTCCAAACCCCAATTATCTTTCCTTTCTTTCTACATCGACTTCCACTATCATAAGTCTCATTCCGATTAAATTTAAGATAACTGTTACGAAAACGTGGGTCAAGTTTTGCTTGCAACGAAAACGGAATTGAGAAAATACGGCAAAAAAATTGGACACAAATATTTACGTGGTTCACCCAATTTAGGTTACGGCCACGGGCAAGTATAGGAGGATTTCACAATAATAGGAGAATTACAATAACACTCTCTAAATACAAGGAGATACCAAAAATTAATCTTTCTTCTAATAGGAGAAACTAAGTAGAAAACACTCAGGAGAAAACAATATTTTTCTCTCTATAATTTATCTCTCCACTCACGCTTTCAATTCCTCTCAATTTGCTCGCTACATTTTCTCTTCAGCTTTTGCCCATATTTATAGGCAAATATCACCCCGTGAATTAATTGAAGTTAGAAATTCAGTGCAACCAATTCCTGCCAACTTCCTCCAATTCTTCACATTTTTCTTCAACATTAAATGCCAATTTGAAATGGTTGGATCAAACGATGTGGCTTTACTTTCAACATTTCTCCCACTTAAAGTCACTTTTGTTGTACTACTTCCATCCTTCCTATACTTGCCATCTCCATGCTATTTGCATTTTTGCTAGGCCGATGGAGGATCGGCACCATATAAACTTGTCGGTACTAATTTTCTTTGTTAACATATCTGATAGGTTGTCTTCTGTATGGATTTTCTATATATCTATAATTCTTTCCTCCACTTTTTCTCGAACAAAGTGATATTGAACTGGAATGTGCTTTGTTCTCTGATGAAATTTTGGATTCTTTGCCAAGTGCAAAGCGCTCTGACTATCACAAAATAGAGCAATCTTCTCTTGTTTGTATCCACACTCCTCTGTTAACATTTGCCTAGCTTGTGTAGCTGCCATGTATTCTGCCTCTATTGTAGAAGTAGCNGAGCAATCTTCTCTTGTTTGTATCCAAACTCCTCTGTTAACATTTGCCTAGCTTGTGTAGCTGCCATGTATTCTGCCTCTATTGTAGAAGTAACCACAATAGACTGCAGTTTCGAAACCCAACTTATAGTTCCTCCAGTAAGAGTAAACACATATCCAGTAGTGGATTTGCTTTTGTCAAGATCACCTGCATAATCTAAATCAACATAGCCCTTGACAACAAAATCTGATCCTCCATAACATAATGTAGCATTAGAGGTACCCATGACATATCTCAAGATCCTCTTTATAGCACTCCAATGCTCTTTACCAGGATTCGCCATGTACCGACTAACCACT